GTGTTTGGTTTCGAGATTTGGCTGTTCTGGAAGCTGCTTGAACTTGAATGACTAAGACGGGGAGGCGGGGGGGAGCCCTTTCTTCTGCTCCTGCTCTACCCCACCCCAAACTGGCCACAAACTAATTATGATTTTCTTATGTTGCGAGGGAAGCGAGCAAATTCTGCTTTCAGCTATCCTTACCTTTTAAAGAAACTAACTTGAAAGATTCCTACGTGTGACTTTAGTGAAGGGAAAAAAAACAAAAATTACGAAATTGCCTCGTCTGCTCCTGCCAGACGTCCACTGCCTGCCTCCCCCCGCCCCGCACCCCGCTCCGGCCTCGGAGGGGCGAGGGGACGCGCCTGTGGGTTGACGCCGTCCCCCCTTCTTTCCAAATAGCTCACTTTAGGGTTGCGTTTTTACAGATAGTCGCATTTTAGAAAGAAAAATAAAAAGTATATGGTGGGAACTTTGTGCGTCCCATACATCTTCCCACTACAGTAGCCAGACCCGCTGTGTTAAAAATAAGGCGATGCACTTGTTCTTAGTATTGTAAAGTTGGTTTATGCTTGGTTTCACACGCTTTCTTGGTAAAAGCATTTACTTTCTTACCACCTTAAACCTAGACTTTCTGGAGAGTTAGAGACCTCTTTGTTTAATCGTATTTGGTAGCTTTGTAGAGTGTCATAAAGCCATAAATTATTTATACAGCTTCAACTTGTTGGGATTCTTAGCATGAAATAACGAATTTCGAGATTTCGAGTTAGGATTCTTGTTTCTGGATGTATTCTTACTCACTAAAAGAAGTTTGGGAAGTTGTTGACCTCGGAAGATGAAAGAGCTGGTTATATTTGGTAAAACAACTCCCCGCCCTCTCCCAAGACTGTAGAAGTGAGATAGTGACTGTAGTACAACAGAAAATAGCATATCGAGAAAATGTTACTTTCTGAAATAAATGGTAGAGGAGTAAAAAAAAAAAAACCCAACCAAAAAAACCCAAACCACCAGTGAAGAATACTGAAAGATGGACTGTGGGAAGCGATATAATGAGAGATTCTATTTTTATTTTCAAGATTCTTGGTGAAGCTTGAATTTATATTGGAACAAATACGGATGTGAAAAGTAAAACTGTTTAAAACTTATGTTCTTGGTCATCACAGCAAACAACCTCTTCAGAATAGTTAGATTTACAGTAAACATCAGGAAGAAACTTGACTAAGAAGACTCTTTCTTAGCACAAATGAGCATTCCAGAGGTATGATGTTGGATTTTTAAATTGCTGAATCTCTTCAACGTAATGTATTTGGCCAGAGGAGGCCCAAAACGTTTTGTTTTGTTGTTTTGGTTTTTTTTTTTGTCAAAGAACAAAAGAAAGAAAAACATTTCCCCGTACAAAAAAGGACACTGAAAAAGGAATGTCTGAAATCCTTACGTCTTTTGACATATTTTTAAATACTGAAAGCTCTGGAAATCTGTTTTGTGAAGTATTGGAGTTCCAGAACGAGAGCTGTGGAGACTTGCTGAAAAAGTTTAAGGATTGTATTGGAGCTATTCTTCACACTCTTTTTTTAAAAAAGACAAATAAAATACAATCTGTGTTTCTGAATAGTCTCAGGAAGAAGTCTGCTATCCCTTTAAGCTTTTCTGCTTTTCCTGTTTACGTTGGCAATTGGGTGGAAGTATTGTGGAGGCAGAAAACTTTTTGGAATGTTGAAAAAAATGTTTCATGCAAATGTAGTAAATTGCTTCAAGACTTCAGAATTTGAACACTAAGGGGCGCCAGTTATTTTTCTGAGGCGTGAGTCTGGCCTCTGAACACCATTACTGATTTAAGTAGTGAAATTAAGAAATCTATTAGAAGATACCAAAGAGTGACAAAATACTTGTGGATACGCAGGTATTTATATTTGCATGGACTTACGTATACGGTATGCTTACACACAGTATTACATAGGTGGAATAGTCAGTAACGATGAACAGTTGAGAAGTTGGAACAACTGTTGTGCTGTAAAACACCTATCCTGGTTACCAGAGGAGCATTGTGTTAAATATCTTGAACTATATGCTACGTTGACATCCTCCAGAAGGGTTTAGCAATAGCAAACCAGAGGTTTGCCAGGAAAATCTGCAAGGTTTAGAACGCTTACTTAAAAGTATAATATTTAATAGTTTCATGAGTTGTTTCATGGCACCTTTGAGAATGCCAAATATTAGGGGCAGGTGCGTGTATATGTAGATTTATAGATCTAATCTAAAAATAAAGTTACAGTGTTCACGTTCCCTCTTTGCTCCTTCCTCCTGCAATTTGGCTTGCTGCTTCTAATTTATTGTTCTGTGCTTTAAGTACAGTTTTTTTTTAGTTACTATACAACTGTCTTCCTGAAGGTTTGTTTATGCTTGAGAAGAATAATATTAGGATCAGCTTTTGTCTTTTATTTTGTGCTGATGAAATTGAAGAAATGAAGTCACAGCCCTAAGAATTCAAACAAAACATGGGATTGCTTTTTCTACTGGAATGCTATGGTTTTTTTATTTATTTGCTTTTACATGCCAGTATTGAAAAACAAAACTCAAATGGGCTTGTGTTGTGATTACTTCTTGTAATTGTATACAACAAGAGATGGAAATGGACGTGCGGGTTTAGATGAACAGTACCTACAATCTGGTTAGTTTTCAGAATATACATCTACTTTTTTTGGCCTGCTTCTGTGCTGTGTGTTTTAGACAAAACACATCTTCCTTTCTGAACTCTATTCTAGAGTTTGATGTTTGAAAATTTTAGTGCTTAGTTTAGTAGATGGTCTCTGTCTTACGGCATTTGAAGATCAGCTTAAATTTGAGAGGTATAGAGAGGAAGCTTTTTTTGAAAGAGCTACTTTATAATAAAATATGAAAGACACAGTTTTGTTTAGGTTACAGATGTTTTTGCATATGTGTGCTTTCAACTTCTTATGTGTAAATAAGGCTTTTGTGGATTAACAAGGATGTTTAAAAGTGCACATCATAATAACTAGGAAGCTGGATTGTTTTTATCAGACTAGTGCAAACCTGTGGGAAGAGAGGGCTCTTCCTGAATGTGGAATAGGCTGTATTTCCTGTAATTGTTTGCACCATCAAATGTGACCCGATTTTTTTTTTTTTTCTTCAGCTTCTCAGATACTAACGTTTACGATTCTAACCTAGATTGTTTTTTCTGACAGCATATGTATTTTAATGATCCCCTTTATGGAAAATGAATAAAGTTGTGCCTTTTGGCTTGCACTGTTTCTTTTGAAGGTAAATTGGACATTTCAAACTGGGCAATTTCACTCTGACCGATTGAAATTAACAAGGTACTTTGGTTTTATTCTTTCGGCAGATTATGAACTAATATGCCTAAACTATTAACTGAGATTTGTATAGTGTACTTTTAATATTTTTTTTTCTTGAACTTGTAAGTGGTCAGAGTATTGTACCTAATCAGAATATACACAGACCAAACCTGCACTCTGAACTTTTTTTAGAAAGCTTTTGATGCAGGCTTTATCAGGAATTCATTTTTCCTCTGTAAACTATACCTCAAAAACTTCTGCCTTCCTGTCAAACTTGTGTTGAAGATAACTTAAAAGTGTGTCTACTTTTAAATGTAAATTAAGCCATGCATCTAATTTTTGAAGATAAAACTAATTTTGTGTCAAGTAGGCTGCCTCTTTCTGACTAGTAGTTATAACAAAGTTAGCTATAAAAACATCTAGGTAGGGATTAAGTAGGATAATTTTTTCTTAGATATTGCAGTCTCTCTCTAGTGTACTCACTGAGAAAAGTGCATGAGAACTTTCAGAGCCCAGTGCCCAAAACTGCTGTTTTCATGTCAGTCTCATCTCATTGTTTTAACCAGAACATCTGTGTGAGTTAGGACTGAAGAACTGTGTTCTGGTGTTGTAAATAAGTTCTCCCTGAGAAGTTACCTAGTTATTTTGTACTTATTGTTTGTTATTATGTAAACTTAGCCTGTGCTTAGGTTTTGCTGACTTGTCAGATTTGATGAAGGGGCATTGGCCAGTTGTATCAGATCTTGCAGTAAATACCCATTATTTCATTACAGACTGTGCCTCTTAATGCAAAGTTAAGAGATGAATATTCTTCAGGATAAAGGCTTTGATAGGTGTTTGTCCAGAGAGTCTCAGACTAATTTTAAAATTTTGAGTTGTAATGTTAACGTTTGTACAAAACAGCATGTGACAGGAGCCCTGAATATTGTTTGTGTGCTGTTTATCAATAGTGTTCTTTTGAATCTGGTTCTTTAACCATCTCTAAATCTTAAGATGATGGTCTGAGGCATTTTTCTGATTTATGATTTGTCTTGTAATAACAAGACTGTAAAGCTTTTAGAACTTGTGTGTTCAAAAACTTCATATAAGTTCTGAGGTGTGGGTTTTGGTGTTTTGTTTTTGTTTTTTTTTTTTTCTGTAATTTCTTGGCAGCTTCTTATAACATCAAAACAAAGGCTCCATTGCACTTAAAGGTTTTTTTTTTTTCAACTGGGGATAAAATATTCAAAACTCTTCCCCCCTCCTTTCAACAGTTCAGTTCTTTTTAAAACAAGTGGGTTTTTTTTGAGCTCTATCTGCGACCTTAATAGGATTGCAGTCACCTAGCATGTAAAAGAGTGTTGTTTTGATTGATAGAAGTTTTAAGTTAGTAAAGCGGTTATTTTCACCTCATGTTTTGAAAGCAGTTTGTTCACTGTTGCTTACCAATAATTATGAAAATGTTGGACATCAGAGGGTTTTTTTAAGTGACAGTAGTAGATTTAGTTCTGTACAAGAGCTACTACTGACTTGTCTTGAAATTGGAACAGATCTGTTTGAATTTTGTATCATTTTTGTTTAGTGTTACTTGTTCCTAAGGTTGGAATAGAGTTTCATTTTCCTCATCTGAAATTGTATGCAATAGAGTCCAAAATGACTAGTGTCATATAAA